TCCAGGCTACGCCCGGGGTATCAACCGACAAGCCCCAGGTAGCCCTAAATGGGCATGAGTTTTGAGTAGGAGCCCTTTTGTTGGACATCATTCATGTCCACCAACCACTTTGGAGGTGCATCCAACTCTTAAGATTCATGGCCAAATTAGGCCTTGAGGGGTTCATGGGTGACATCCCCGCTCATGTGCCCGCTTGGTCCATGGATCAACGCTAGGTGCCTACGTACCCCTCGGGCCAGATTGGTGCTTTCCTGGCGCGGAAGGCGACTGCTTCTGGAGGCTTCGCGGGTCTCGGCCGCTTCGCTTGCTTTGCTTTTGTGTTTCGGATTGTGTCAAAGGGACCTCAATGGGCAGTTCAGCATGTTCATGGCTCCGTCAAAAACCACGTTCACCCTGGGTTCCCCCTGAAAGAACGGAGTCCCACTCAAATTGGACCTTGATAAGTGGAGTGTTCGTGAATGTGAACACTGGGGTGTTAAGCCACTTCCTGTAACACCAACAACAATTCCCTTCAAAATGATGTTGTTGAAGGGATGGCCTACTTTGACATCACAGAAGGACCGATTCTCTAAAATGCAACAGAAGGTGGAAATCTTTTGGTTTGGTGCTCTTTGGTGAGACCCGCCGATCCCTTTCTCCTTCAAGATGGTTTTGTGTAACCCCTGGCGGCAAACAGTGGATGGGACTTCAGAGGAACTGCAATATGCGTTGGTTCCCTACTAGCTAGCAAACAGGTGTTTTCGTTTTGCAGGTCGGAGACCAACCCAGGTGCAACCATAAATTGTTTCCCTTTTGGTTTATCCAAGCCACCCAAGAGGGTCGCTCCCGCGGAGAATCACGAAAAGGGGGTGGCAAAGAAGTTACACAGACTCATGTGAGTTTAGTGGCTTCCAGTTGCAAGCTAGTAGGGCAACGAGTTGGTTCTTTGTTGCAGTGACAAAAATGGGTTAACTCTGAAGCAGTCAGCAGTCATGACTGGTAAATATTATGTTGGTTTTCACTGACGCCAAACATGTGGAAGGATGCGTCACACAGCCCCTTGACCTGAGCCTGACACATGCCGAACCTCCATTCTTTTGGTGGTTGTCATTTTCGTTTCCCTTGGACACCAACCAAAAAGGGCTCCCCCCAAAAAAAGAGAAGAGACGGATGTCGCTTGCAGGCGAGGTTTCCTGCCGCCACCCTCGGAGGGAGTCGGGGCCGCGAGGGAAGGAAGGGGCGCCGGGGTGCAATTTGGGTGTCACGGGAACTCAAAAATACATGTGGCTCAAAATCAAGCAGGAGGGGCAAACCGCAGGTTTTGGTCCATGTTCCCACTTGCCAGGGTTCCATTTTGGTACCGGCTGTTTGAGCCGCAGCCAAATGGGTATGGGGAAATTACACCACCAGGATATGAACCGCAGGTTTGTCGTCCTTGGTTCCAGTTGCCAAGGCAATCCATTTCGGGTACCTATGTTTGACCCACCAAGTGTTTCAAAGCAGACCCAAAACGGGTTCAGAAAGAGACACAGCATGGACACAAAGTGGGATACAGTGAACATGGACTCGAAAGCAGATATGCGCAAACTTGTGATGGGGTAGGAACTTCACTTTTTTTCTGGAATTTGCACTTTCGTGGGTGCCAGGGTAGACACCTCATTCGTACATGTATCGTAGTTCCTGCTAGGACTGCAAAGATCCTACGTGTTTCGGCTCAATATATTTTGTGCCACTACCAAAGGGGGGGAGGGTTGCTTTTGGACCAGCAGCGTTTTTCCGTTTTGTCCACGGAATGCCTAAGGGGACTATGACCATGAGGCAGAACCACAGGGGGGAGACCTTGGGTGTCTCTCATATTGCCTGGAGAGCTTGGTATTGGGTGCGTAAAGTCACACCCTTCCGGTTAGACCAAAAGGCAGGTGCCCATTTTCAGGGATCCAATATTGATTTAACGCGTGTCACATTTCCAAAGGGGGTCTAGTACCTGATTACCCCTTGTGAAATGAAGGTAGGCCTTTTTAGTCCCTATCATCTTGGAGCCCAAAGTGAAAATGCCTTGGGCGCCGCTTCTTTGCTGCTTGCGGCCCATTGGATCAACCAACGTTCGCCCTGATTTGTTGATGCGTACTCATGAGGCGATTGGTCCAACCAAAAGTGACAGTCAACTCGCAAGATCTTTTTCAAGGCCGGAGGCTATGGAGCTGCGCTACTACACCCCAGAGATGCACGCGCGGAGCCCGGGTTCGGGGGGGGGGGGGCACCAAATTTTGGACCGAAGGATCCAGCCTCGTGTGGCTGACCTGGTCGCTCAAAAAGGGGCCACTCGGCAACTCAGTCTCCGTTTGGCAAGGCGTTTTGACGGTTTGTTGAGTCGGAGCCAGCAAAAGCGGCGGACGTTCTACATGAGATTGGCCGGAGCTTCTGACTTTTTGCGATGGAACCTGCCAAATTCTTGGATTCAGAGAGACGTCTGAGATGAAGTCTGAGCTCTCCGAGTTGTGATTCCGATTCGCGAGTCATAGTTATTTACCCAGATGAGCCACGATCCACACCCGGGTAGATGAAGGTTAAAAACGAAGAACCCCAACCGCTGCCTTTTTAATACCAGGGTTTGATGATTTACCCAGATACCACCGCGAAACACCAAAGAGTTCCTGGAACAGGATTCCCGGAAGTAACCCACTGACCATTCCTCATCTCACTCATCTTTTGGAGAGCTTTTCCGGCTCTGACACATTTGTGATTGCATTTGAAGATTGACATTGGGTGGTCATTTCCGACTTTCTCAAATGTGTGTTCAATAATTGCTGTTTGGGCGCATTTGGCCTGCTAGAGATGCTCATGATGCAGGCAGGTGATGCTAGGAATGCAGCATATGCTGCTGGTGATGCTGGTGATGCTGACTCATTTTTGCCAGCAATGCAGCCAGTATCTCGCGAAATTGACTCGAAGCTGTTGACTTCCCTGCAGCTGCGGCAACCGCGAAGGTTCTGGTACATGTTCAAATCTTCGATGTACATAGTTTTCCCGCATCTTCGTTCATGCCAGCAAATCTTTCATATAAATAAAGCGCTCATGCAAAGTCTTGCGCTTGTCCAACTTACTTTCGTATCTTTTGGCAGAAATTGCCTGCTCTGCTTCTGGCTTCTGCCAACTCATTTAGTGTTGAGGTAGATTCCTGCTTGCAGTTGTGCCGCGAATGCTTGTTTAGCAACGTTGATAGTGCCATTGACTTTCGCTTGCCCAATTTCATCCCCACCCCCCCCCCCCCCCCCGACGCAAAGCACCAGCCCCAAACAGTCGTACCTGAAGCCTCTTGCCTGGCAACACCCCTATGTACCTGAAACTACCTTGCAAAAATATCCAACCTTTACTCCTCGCTATCTTTCCCTTTTCATATCTACTCAGCTCGCTTTGTTATTGAAAATAAGGATTCGGTGCGCAGACTACATCAGCCACGGGGTCAAACCAAAGAAGCATCGAGCAAGCATAGGGAGCCCACTCCATATAAACAAGAAAACACATACACAAATAAACACTCCAATTATTGCATACCCCAAATAAAAAAATCAACAAAGTCGCAATGTTCAATTTTTCGGGTGTAGTTTGAGGATCGCAGCCTCACAGAAACGACCCAAAGAAACGACCCAAAAGACCACCTTCGGGAAGGCCGCAGCCTTCGCGCTGCCTGCCTTTCTGAAGCGACGACTGGAGGTGCAGGCCAGGGAACGTCCGGCTGCAAATGGCGTGGGTACACAGTTTTTTTTCTTCTCCTTATTATTCTAAACACCTCCTTTCCTAGTCAGGGGTTGATGGATCATACCCTACAAGTGAGAGTCAGACGGTGAAATCGGTTGATATGATACCCTACAAGTGAGAGTCAGATGGTGAAATCGGTTGATATGATACCCTACAAGTGAGCCCAGTCAGACGGTGAAATCGGTTGATATGATACCCTACAAGTGAGCCCAGTCAGACGGTGAACAGAAATTCAGTAGATTGCTTGAGTCTGTGTATTCTCGCCGACTAGTTTTTGGAAAGGAACAATTAAAATAGGGGGAAGCCAGGGCCAAAACGGGTACCCCGCTGAAAAAGACAAGCCACCTTGGCTTCTTTTCAGAAAAAAAGAAAGAAACAAACCATCAGGGTACTTCGGTCGGCTCCCCGAGCTGAGTCTGCCGTGCGACCCGTCCCAAGAAAGGACACTTCTTCCATGTGGAGGACGCATTTTGTGGGGTTCCCCAATGACCCTTTTTGCAAATGGACGGGGAGGGGCTATATTTTTTAAAGAGGGAAGTCTTCCAACCCTCTCCTGTCCGGTGCAGAGAGTTCAACGGATGGTTTTGCAGGCGACGAAGAAGCGGCGCCTGTCTTGGGATTGAGCGACTTGCTCATCCGGGAGGTGAAGCCTAGGGGACATTCTCCTTGCCTTTGGATGTGGGTGGAAACCACCCGGGTTTTGATTGACTCGTGTGTGCGACAAAGGCGGCTTTTGCCGGCGCCGGGTGCCATGCTGGGAGTGGGGCCAGCACTTTTGGGGTCCCAGGCAGCGCTTTTGGTTTTCGGGCTTTGGATGGCTTCCGACCATTGGCATCGAGTCCTTTCAAACCTCTCTGAAAAAACACAGTGAGTTGTTTTTTCCTCTTTCTGGGGACCTCCCCCTAGGAAGGCTTTTAGAGAGCCTTTCATGGATCGGGGCATGTTTTTTCTCGATGGAAGCACGGAAGTGGGCCCCGAAAGTGTGGTTGACTCGAGGACCATCCCTTTTCAAAAGGACTGCCCTGGCAAGATCAAGGTTGGATCTTATCTACCACTGTGCTCAATTGCTGCTTGCAACTTGGCTCAAAGCGCGCACCACTCACATACCCAAAGAAGAGACGACTCGGCCGTTCTCTGATTCCCTCACGTCTGAAGGCTCCGATCTTATGCATCTTATGCATGTAATGTGTATATATTGATTGTAGAAGTGCCCTTGGATATGGTTGGCTCTTCCACACGCACACACAGACTCAGCTCCAGAACAAAAAGCGGACAGCGATCGGTACAAATCCCGCCCCAGATGGGAAACTGGCTGTCGCTCTATGGCTGCTGCCCACCGGATGTACAGACGCATTGCCAGACTTCAGTGACCATTTTGCCCTCTTTTGCCATGTGGCCATGGGTCAAAAGCCGAATCGTACCCCCAGTGAACATCCTAATCCCCACTAAAATAGACTAAAATGGGTGGTGCACTTATCGCGAAAAGGTACCATTGGTTTTGACCCATGGCCATGTTGTGTTTCCTTCATTGTGAGCCACAATCAAAGCCCGGATAGATAAAGGTTAGTCAGGGGTAATCCCAACCATACATGGGTGCAGCCGCTATTTTGATTGCTTATCCATGGTTTTGGGTCGGCTATTTGAGTACTGATCGGTTTTGAGTGCTGTGGGTGGACGTGCACCATCTAAGAAACCCGGGAATGATGATTCCTGTAAATACCGTTTCCTATGGTTGCAATTTGGTGCCGGATTCCTGCACCACCTAAGAACCCTGGAAGGATGATTCCCCTGGAAATACCAACAAACAAGGCTTTCCCATGGTTTCAACGCGGTGCGAAATGGATTTCGTCCATCCACAGTATGACTCATGTTCCCTAAGCAGACCGTTGCTGCAGGACAGAGGACCACGAAGAAGTCCTCGAGTCGGTTGGACGTGTGACTTGGATCTTGGCGCGGGATGCGCGAAGCGTCGGATGTGTTGCTTCTAAACCAGCAAGGATTGATTGCCAGGCACCCCCCAGCCTGAAGACTCAGCGATCCAAAGGGCAAGCATCCTGCATGTCTCGAGATTTGCCAAGACTGGCAAGCGAATCTTGCCGGCCCCACACATGGAATCCAAAGCTGCAATGATGGAGCCAAAGCCTATATACACCTTGTTTGTCTTGCTGTTTGCTTCTTCAGTTTTGAAACATACCGCAAAACCATCTTGAGCTGGCCAAACATGGAGAAGAAAAGAACAAGAGTGAGAGGGAGAGAGAAGGGCCGGGGGCGAAGGGGCCGAAGGGGCCGAAGGGGGCGAAGGGGAGGAACCCTTTTCAGGTGAGCCAGAATCAAAACCCGGGTAAGTGAAGGTTAGTAAGGGACGATCCCAGCCACACATAGCTGACATCCGCCTTCTTAGTTCTTGAAGCATGGTTTTGGGTCGAGCATTTTTTCGTACAGTTTTGTTTGTGGCTCAGGTTGGTTCCGGGAAGCGGGCCATCTTATCCCGTGAGGCCCATCTCCCGGTGCACGAGCTGACGGACTTCCGGTACCACGCCGCCATGGGCGGCCACTTGGACATTTTGACGCCCAAAGAAGGCGTCGCCATCCTCGCGCTGCGCCAAGGCCGCTCGACAGGGGCCAAGGAATGAGTCGGCCAAAGAACCGGCCCGGTTTTATATGACTGGTTTTGGTTTATGGGTTCACTGGATATATATATATATATATATGCGCTGTCAACATGCCAGGTGTTTGGTGGGAGGCTGTGCTCCAAACTTTGCAGATTTGCCGCGGGTTGTTCCCCCCTGTGAACCATTCCCTTCAACGTGGGTAGTACTGACCTAGTAAGCCAGGGGTCGATTGTTTTTCCAAGCACCTGGTCTTTGGACTCTGGGAACATGTTTCTGCCACTTTTGTTACGGTAGCTTTGACAGCCATCCGTGTTTTTTCTGGTCTCCCCTCAAAAGGAAACCAGAGCAGTGTTTTCCCACCTGGAGATACTTCGAAGGTGGGTAGTTGAAGCTGGCCCACACTTCCGCGTTGTCCTTGCCACCAGAGTAACCTGCAGATTTGCCCACATCTTGTATGGGATTGGGGAAAAGGGAGCACTTTCGAGACCAGAGGTTTCGCTCCGAACCGTGGACGTGGGGGTTTGGGAAGACACTCCTCGAAAGGGCCTCTTCCCACTTCCATGAGAGGGCAATGTCGACTCCGGATTCAACCCGGCGTTGTTTTTTTTGGGTATCCGGATCCCCTCCAGCGCGGGACACCCTTGAATTTATCGCAGCCCGTTTCTGGTTCCCATCAATGGCAATACTTGCAGCTTTCAACGTCAGTTCTTTTTTCGGTTTTGGACAAATCACCCCCTAATAAATTGACGGTTTCGGGCACCATCAGGGTGGAGCCCTTAGTTGAACAGCACTTCTTGGCTCTTGGATCATTTTTTTCCTTTTTTTCTTTCTTTTTTTCGGGTATTGGTCAATTCACAGAGGTCCGTTGGCAGCCACCCCCCACAGAGAGAAAATTCAACTGCGGAAACTACTATTGTCGGGTATGGGGCTCCTCCTAAATGTATCTTCTTTTGCAGATTGACATGGAACCTCTCTCACTTGTAGAAACCCGAATGTCTTGGTCACAGCCAGGACCTTTTTGGGTTTCCATTGAGATCAGGCGCTTGGGTAAATCCATGGCAGGGGCTCGAGACTTGGGCTTGAGCATGTGTGCACGGGTCGTGCCAGTGGTCTATGGCTCGCCCAATGGCGAGGTTGAGACCGGCGCGCATGAGCACCGAGCCGCAGATGGCTCTCTCCGGGCTCCGGTCGCGCGACTGGACGAGCGGAGCTTGGAGTCAGCGGAGTTGCAGGAGGTCAGGCGCCAAAACCCGACAAGCGCGGCTTCTATTGAGATCCTGGAGAAGCTCCCCGGAGATAGTCCTTGCAGCAGCGGACGCCCCTGCGTCCTACCGCACAGCCTGCCCGCTGATGAGCTCGGCGGGCAGCCAGAAGCAGAAGTGAGAGATGCAGACGTGGATGCAGACGTGGATGCAGACGTGGATGCAGACGTGGATGCAGACGTGGATGCAGACGTGGATGCAGACGTGGATGTAGGTGCGCGAGAGGAGGATTACGCGCCAACGCGGAACCGATCGTTGCCTGCAAACAACCCAGGAATGAGTCACGGTGCTTCCACTGGCAGGAGGCTGAGGTTTTCGGACAGCGTCCAGTCCCCGCCTGAGCCAATTGAAGCCAGGACCGACTCCAAGAGTTTGAACCGCAATCTGTCGCCAAAGACTGATCAATTCACGTCACAAAGATCTGCGAAGCCATTCATCCAGTGCATCGAACAGATCATGGCGAGCTATGTCCTTGACCGCTGCTCTGATGGCCGCAGCTTCCGAAAACGGCTGATGTCCACCTTCGCCGTGCCCGCGGCCTTCATTCTCTTGCTTCCCATGATGGCCCTCTTCCCGGTTCTGCCGGCATTCCCAGGGGCGGACCAGGGGTTCTGGCTGAACTGGGGCTTCAACTTTTTGGCGCACCCCTGGCTGAACTACTGGCCAGCGCGCGCCGGTCTGGAGCTGATCCTGCGAGGCATCGAGGAGCAGCACAAAAAACGGCCCCGGATCAGGTGGATCGCGACGCTGGCGCCGATCTCGGAGCCGGTGGTGTGTTTGCTGATCCACTGGCTCGCAAGCTTCTGGGGCGTCTACCCCGTGCCCTATGCGGTGCTCACCTCTTGCATCCCAGGAATCATTTGCAGCATTTCAATTGCATACTGCCTCCTTCCGGCCGAGGTTTGCACAACAGCCTTCCGAAGATATCTTCTCTACAACGGCATCACCTGGAGCTTCTTCATCGTACAGATCATCGGCCTGCTGTTTTGGTACGCCATTTTTCCGGAGCTTAGCAGCGAACAGCAGATGCTCAGCAGAATCGGGGTCACTGTGAGTGTCATGTTCTTCGGATTTTGGCAGGAGTTGGCTGGCGACTACTTGCGAGTGCCAGACATCTTGACTGTGGGGCTGAGGGTCCCCATGATGTTTGCGAAGTTTCTCTTCTCCGCGTCTCTCCTGGCCAAGGCGAAGGACATAAATGTGGTCCTGTCCATTCTGCTACTGGATGCTGGCCACGCTTTGTTTGCCTTTCTTGAGATGTATGGCAAGTTGATGATCGCGGTGGGCAGGGAGATGCTCGCTACGGACGAGTTGGAGATTAAGAACTCGAGGTCAAGCTGTTGCCGATGCAAAATTCGCCAGACCTTCCGAAGCGTTCTCCATGTGCATAAGAAAGTGGGCTTGCGCGAGGTTGCAGAGAGAATGCGGTCCACCCTTCGAGCAGTTGAAGGAAGCACCAGAGAGTCCCTTCATTCAGATGAGATTGACTCGGTGGATGCGAGGCTGCTCAATCAGCTCTCCCGTTCCCTCACCCTGTTCGCAGCGGTGGAGATGTGTGAGATTTTTGTTCCCGCAACCTGGATGGTAATGTCCTGCACTTTGCAAAGCAACGTGTTTGGACACAACCGACGGTATTTCTTCGGGTTTGCCGGCACCACAGATGAGCAGTTCCTGGAGGGGATCTTCAACAACCTATTGTCACTGCTGGTGGAGCTGATGCTTTTGTGTGCTGCGCAGGCGGCTTTGTTCCGCGTCTTTGCGGTGAATTTGTTGGAATTTGTCAGCGTCGTGTTGTGGGCCGACTTCCGGCTTTGGCTCTTCGCCCTGGTCTCCGTGGTGGTTTTATGGATTACTACCATCCTGGAGCACACTGCGACAGGAACAAAGTTCTGAACAAACTCGCCGGACTCAATGAGTCGACTGGAGTTCGAGCGAAGCTTTCTCGGAAGTCAATTCAGAGTCCATGCGCAAGGGCATGTGAAATATGGAGCTTTTTTAAAATCTACTCCAGGCTCTGCCAAAGGCATCCCTTGAGAACTGCCAGATCACGTGTGAATATCTCGAGTTTGCCCGGAGGGTAGGCGGTTTTTCTCGTCCATGCTCCTGAAAGGATGCGCGCATGAGGCTTGAACCCACTTGCAGTCTCTGCTCAAAATCCCCGCGGGATAGATCGGCCGAGATCTTAACCATCTTGTTGGAACCAAAGCCCTTGATTGAGTTGACTGGGTGCCCTTGAATTTTTCGGCAGTGAGTGCCAGTCTGACTGGCAGAAGAGGTGCTCCTCATAAATTGAACCGGGATAGGCTCTGACAGGTGTTGAGACCCGAACGCAATGGACGAAGTTTGGCTGCTAAAAGTCAAAAACCATGGCAGGGGATGAAGGAAAAGCCATGGTTGGGTATGGGGCTCCTCTTGCGCTCTGAATGGATATCCATTTTGGGGTTTCTTCCATAAAATCCTTTGTTGTTGTTTTGATTGCAAGGGCTTGAACTAACAGTCGTTTTTTCTTCAGGTTCCTTTTATCCAACCTAAACAAGGGAACCTCAAACATCACACTCAGTTGGAAGTTTCAAGGAGCAACCCTCAGAAGTACTTTTGATTCCTCAACATGTCACTTGATTGGACCCAGTCAGATTGGGCGTCTCCGTTTGTGGGGTCCCCATGGGGGCCACCAAAAAGACAGCTGAAGCCATCGCTTGGGATCCTTAACTTTGAGACAAACTCATCGGGCACACCCCAACTCAAATCAAGCCTCCAAACATCACCTGGTCTTTTTCCTTCCAACCAGCCTAAATAAGGGTAACGACTCCAAAAAGGCACAGCCATTTTAGTATCCATCCCCAAGTACTTGGTGTCATTTTGGTTTCATGGGGGCAAGGCAACTTTTTCCAACTTGACCATCTTACAGCCAATATTCTCCAGCTGAAACGGTCGCTCAAATCCACCACCTCGTTTGCTTTTCCCTTTCAAAGCAAGCTAAACAAGAGTAACTCCAAACAAATCCAGCAGAACCATTTTGGTCTGAGGCCACCAAGCACACCCAGTTTTAGCTCACAAGCCTAAAACGTAACATCCCTTTGAGACACACGATTTTGGCCTCTCCTCCATGCGAGAAACCATTTCCTGAATTATGATGGGGATGATTGAATGTAGTCTGCCTTGGCCAGCTGCAAGAGCTTGCTTCCTTTACATGCTTCGACAAGGACATGGTTTGGCTTCGTATTTTCGTTGGACCCAAAACGTTTCTCAATGCAAGAGCAGACTGCAGAAGGAATCCTCCTTCTGCATTCCAAAGCCCAAATATCACACACAATCACGGACATACACAGAAAGACACGAACACACACACACACACAAATCACACACAAATCACAAATCACAGACACATTTTGTTTGGAGGGGTTGAGTCCCTTATGGGCTCAAAATAAGGGAGCCCCACCGAAACCTGCGGTCAGGCCGCCTGGTCCGGGTGAGCGGCGCCGTGGTCTTGAAGGCCTCCAGCGGCAACGAGCGCCGCTTCTACGAGGCCCTGGGCGCGCGCGCGGCGCGCGGCGAGCGCGGGGAGCGGCGCCTGGGGAGCCTGGCGCCGGGGTTCTACGGGGCCGCCGCGGTGAGGTCGGAGGAGAAAGCTCAGGCCCGTTTTTTTTTTTTTGGATGTCGCGTCGAGGTTTGCTTCAGGCCCAGTAGGGCCGACTTTTGACCGTGGCTTTTGTGGAGGAGGGTTCCCCTAAAATCGACCACGGAAAAAAAGGGTACCCTCATTCTAGCCTCTCTACTGGAGGACCTGGATGATACAATGCAATGCAATGTTATGTTATGTGATGTGATGTTATGTATGTCTGTGGGTGTGTGTATAGTTATGTGTGTATTTCTGTTCGAGGCTCGGGAAACTCGATCCTTAAGGGAATACTGAGGGCAAAGCTAGGCGGGCCGGATGTTCGTTGGATCCAATGGCGAGTCGAAGAAAAAGGAAGGGCCGGTATCCTTTTGTTGCTCCATTTTTTGGGTTTGGCAAGGGTGGCAGACCTGAATCTGAGTCAAGTTCTTGGCCAGGAGGGGTTTCAATCGATAGGCCGAGGATCTGGTGATGCTATGTAGTTGAAATGGACAGCAAGCAGCCCCCCTTTAGAGGCGATTCGCGTAGACCTGCGCTCGGGTTGTGGGAAACACTCGTGTTTTATGGGACTTTGTGTGATGAGGGTGACTTTGTGCAGTCTTCGGATCTCGTTTCAGAAAAAGTTTCTCTGGTTTGGCGGCTCTGATTTCAGGGCACGTGAGACGCTCAGGAGTATCTTGTCCTGGAGAAGGTAGGAGACTTCCGACATCCGCTGGCGTTCGACCTGAAGCTCGGATTTGCCCCTCTGCTTGGGAACGCGAGCAAGCGAGAAGAGGCGAACATTCACAAACACCAATAAAGAGAAGACCAAAACAACAACAACAAAAGCAATGACACACAGTAAGCAACACAAAACTCCTGGCCTCACAACTTTCCGAAGACGCTTGGGTTTGATGTCCGCGTCAAGCGCTCTGTTCCCGGCAAGTCTTGCACTGCCGCCTTTTTGGGGTTGCCCTGTTTTCTCCCAGCGGTGTTGGCACCCCAAAGACACCACTCTCCCCTTTCCCTTTCTCCTTTCCCTCCCCTGCTTCCCCCTTTCCTCAAGGTTTGATTCAACACTCGGATGGAAAAGTGGTCGGTTTCCTTTGAGCCTGCCGTGAACACCAGCCGAAAAGTTGGTTGCCAAACAAAAAAGGGGTGAGTTGTTCAAAACCGATCCTTCATGCTTATGCCAGATTGTAGTGGTTTCTCTTGGGCGGAATTACGGATTATGGGATCCCCTTTGAAATTAGTTTGAACTGGATTTCAACCGCGCCCATTAACCTGTACATTTGAAGGGGTTCTGAAAATGACTGTGCAGGGTTGTTGCCCTTTGAAGCGCAGTTTTACAGTGTAACTTAATGATGTCATCTTAATTGACTCAGTGAGACATTGGCCTTTGATGAATCGGACCCCAACAATCAACCTCCCGCAAATGAATGACCTACCACATCCATTTGTTTTGATTGGTGCACAGCCCACCCCTAGGAAGATGATATCGGAAGTGGCCAGTGCACTTCCATGCTGTGAGTACAAATCCTAAGTGAGCTGCGTCGCTTTTGGGATCCCTACAGAAACCAGGGTTCGCCGCATGTTTCCTTTTTTGGTTTCAAGCATCACCATTCGGGCCAATCTACAGTGAGTTTCCCTCTGGTGTGATTAAGGGGACATATGGGCGTGTCTTTTCCGAGGCTATCCCCCTCTTTAGGCGGCTTTTAGAGCAAAGCCAAAAATCAAGAACCACAAAAAATTGGCCAGGGGGGTGGGGGGGGGGGGCGGGAGGGTGTCCTTCCAAAGCCAAAAAAAGACGAGCCGCCAAAAAAACGGGGGTGCCCGGACGAGCGCGCCGGTTGGAAGCGCCCCCGGCGTCGCCGAGGTGCAGCGCGCCGCGCACCACGGGCCCGGGAAGCGCTTCCACATGCGCCGCAAAGCGGCGGAGACCACGAGCGCGGAGTTCGGGTTCCGGCACTGCGGCATGGCCTACTGGGCCGCTCCGGCGGCAAACATCCACGTCCGAAGGGGGGTGCCCGGGGGGAGGTTTGGACTCTCAAAAAAGTCCACAAACTAGCCATTTTTCGTGGCAGGTTTGGACCGCGAGAAAAAAATAGGGAACAAGTTGAAGGAAGATGGTGGCCAACATAGATTCCCAGGTGGCCACCATAAGGGGCCTTGGGATGTGGGGCCTTGAGTTGGGGGCTTGGAGTCCTTCGGTGTCCAAAAGTCGTGGCTGCATGCGGTTCAAAACCAAGGGGGAAACTTCAACAGGACGTCGCCCCCCAAACTGGGAAGCCACAACGACACGTGGGCTGCAAGAGGGCTGCAAGAGCTGTGAGGACTGGACCCACATGACGAAGGCGGGGAAGAGGTAGCTCGCCGCTGGGGTAAATCAGCAACGAGAGCGTGAGGCTTCGTGCTGTTCTGGGGAAAAACCGTTTTTTTAGGGAGCCACCTGCCAAGTGTTTGGTGGACGGGAATCCCCACATATAGAACATGATGTTTCATCGCCAAAGCTCCCTTGCGCACAAAGCTCGCGACTTTTGGACCGGATCTTGCCCTTCAGGGGAAGCTCGCTCACTTGTGCCACAGGAGCCAAAACAGATTCGGGTAGACCAAGATTAGCAAGGGTAGACTTTGATACCAGGTTTAGATTCTGACTCACTTGAGCTTTGTTGTTTAGCAGGTTGTCATACTGCCGACATGGAATCTGAGGGACTCCCTGGCAATGGAACCCAGGATCAACAAACTCTTTGATTCATACAGGGAGGCAACCATTTGGGAGCCGACTTTGTCCATGTTGGTTTGGTGGCACTAGCTTGAGGCACACCCATCTCTCTGCCTATGTCTGAAGCCGCCGAGAGTCGCAGATCCAATCAGTGTATCTACCGGCGCGACCGCAACCACCCGGGAGCTGGCCAGTTTTGCGGACGGGGACCCTCTCTTGCGCTGTGCTCATCGGGAAACTTGAAGCACATGCAATAGCATCCACCATTCTCAATGGCCTCGCCATTCCTGGGAATACCCATCAATCTATTTGTTGACACGGACTACCTTCGGGCAACCCCAAGCCTTTCGCCGTCAACCATGTTTGACGCAAGCGCGCATCGTTTCTGCCGGACACCGACAGGGAAGAAATCGGAGGGCGGGTGGAGATTGGTGCCAAATCCGATCCAGCGGCTGCAAATAGGATCATGTGGGGCCTAGAGGCGTGCTCCCATGCCCATATAGAGGAGCTTGAAGCCCGCGAATGCTTTTTTCACAGTCGGCCAATTGGGCGCAGCCTAGAAGGTTCTGATGGCGAACGCTCGGGCGAAACCGACACTTCTCAGGGTGGGGCAAAAGAAACTAGGTAGAAAGGCAAGCCAAGAAACGTATTGTATGAACCCCTTACGTTTTAATCATCCCTTGCGTTTTTGTTTTGGGGATCCCAAACGGTTCATTTCCCATTTCTTCAGGGTTCCCAGGGTTTGGTGAGTGGATGAATCGCCGCAGGTCAAAGAGGACAAGTACCAGGGCCGGCAGGCGCATCGCTTTCCGAAACGGCCATCCCAAGGATACCAGCTGCCAGTCAAACACTTCCTCCCCACCAGCTGAAACAAGGACAACCATGTGAAGCAGGTGATTTGTGGATGTATAGCGGCACCCTGACGATTGGTGCTGGGTGGATGAGCTGGGGGTTCATATAGGGTGCTCAATTCAAACAATGAGTGGCCTGAATAAATTTAAGCCTGGACCATACCCTTCGACTTCTGGAATAGGATTTTTCAAGGGATTTCGGAAGTATCAATCGCCAGTCTTATTTTTTTGCAAGAGATCAACAGACTACGAGCACAGCCCTCGGCTTGCAGCTTTCGCCCTCAAGGGCTCGGCTGTTGCCTCCTTTGCTTCGCTGATCGTGGCGGCGCATTTCGAGACAGCGATCTCGAATGTTGAACACGCCAGCTTGCTTCTGTTCATTTCTAGCACCTGTTGCGGCTCTTCCATTCATTTGGCATTGGCTTCGGCTTCCGCCCAAACCACCCGTTCACAGTGTTGCCGATGTTTCCCATTGATGCCTCAAACTGGCTTCCCATTTGAAGCAAGCGCCCAACACCCCTATTGGCCATTCTAGTAGACGGTTCAATTGGGGTTACGGAAAAGCCTATAACCTTTTGTAAGCCCCCCAAGCGTCAGTTCATCGCTTTTGGGCGCTGAAGTGAGTTTCATGTTGAGGTGCTGTATGGGGGGAATAGGGGGGCCCCCCTGCGCTGGCAGTCCGATGCCAGGGAGCCAGTGGTCCTTGATCCTTATACACAAGTCAGGCTGCAGTGGCTCCCTAGGCAGTCACCAATGGCTGCCAGCTCGACCGGATATAAAGGTCACAAGAAGGAGGGCTTCTCACTTGAGGCTTCTGGCCGGGCTCGCTAGGTGACCGGGCGACAGTTGCTCGGCGTGCTGGGGCGCTTTTTCAACCAGAGCCCGGATCAGCCGCTCTGCTCGGGAGACTGGCGTGGCCCGAGGAGAAAACACGGGTAAACGAGCTTCTTTGGGGGAATAATAGAAAAGGGAAACATGGGAAGAGAACGGACCAAGGGAATTCAAGAATGGGAACCAGAGGGACGTCCTCCAGGTCGAGAAAAGCTGAGGCAAAGGTGTTGCTCCTGAATTTTGGAGGCTGGTTTTGAAGCTGGGGTCATTGTTTTGAGCGTTCTAGGGGAGTTCAAAGTCAGAAAATGGAATCGGCTGTTTCCCTTTAACCCATCACTTAGGGGATGACTTTGTCATGGGTGAAATAATGAGGCCAGTAAAGGGAACCAAGTCACACCCCGACTGGTTCAAAGCAAAGGGTAAGGGTCAGCCCCTACCAGTACTCTGTCTGGGGGCGGAGTCCCAAAGACTGGAGGTGGGTATGAGTCAAAAGATGGGTCACCAGAACAACGCAGGTTTCTGTCCTTGATTCCATTTGGCCATGGTTCAACAATAAACGGGGTTTTGACCCATGGCCATTTAGGGCAGCCCATTTGGCCCATATTGAGCCAGGGAGCAAATCCCTGATTCATATTCCCCGAGAGCCATCGAGGGTTTTCAAGCACGCCTCGGGGAAGAACATCAAGATGGGTAACAAAATTTGGGGCCTCAAAAAGGGTGGGTTTTTCTTTTCGGCGTCCCTTCAACCAACTTAAGAGGATACTCATAAACACGGTCCCCATGGTGAGTCTTTGTTGGTTGCATAAAGTCAGGGACATATCAGTTGGGCCCAGAACCATCAGTTGTGGGGAAGTTGTCGAATGTTCCAAGCCTCCAGGTTTTAGACGTGACTTTTTTTCTTCATCATTTCAGTTGGTTTGCATCCTGGAAACACACGGAGGGAAAGAGAACCATTTGGTTGCGAAAGATCAGGGCCAAAGAAGCGCACCTATCCACGTTCTTTGCCAGGGGCTTCCTGATATCTCCACTTTGGGAAGTAGATCCAGGTCGGGGAGACGGCCCAAGAAAAAAAACTCAGAAAAGCCATTTGGAGAGACTCGCCTTCCCCAGTTTCTGGACTTTGCTTTTTTTTTGGGAAGACAACTTCCAGGGCTTGAGGACATGGAGATACTCGGGATGAATCGTTTCTTGTTTGTGGCTGAGCTGGTTATTTCCGCTCAAGTGCAGTCTGCTATGACATCGTGCGCCTCTGTTCGGAGCCTACCCCGATGAGAAAGGCTACCAAGGGGAGCCCTGGTTTGGGGTGGCGAACTTCCCTAGAAGCAGAAAAGCTTCAAGAGGTGAGCCCCGAGCAGGAACATTGCCGGCAGATTCACAGGGTGTTCCCTGACATGCACAACATTGGCTACGTGGGGAGAAACCGCCCATCCAAAAGTCAATGGGTTCATGAAGGGGTTCAGAGGGCAAAAGGACGAGGTGGGAATTTGCTGACTTTGCTGCCAGGATTTGCCCCGGGGATCTCTGGTTGCCATCCGATTTTCCAATGACGTCGTCCGATGGATCGATGGATCTGAGGGCCTGGCCGCTGCAAGGGCCTTGGAGATCCATCGTGGACAAGGCGTTGGCGGAGGTGGAGATCTTGCGAGGCGAGTCCGCGAGTCCCCCAAAAAAGCAAAAACCACCTACGCGCGAGGGCCCGCCCCGTCCCGTCTTCTGGCCGGTTTTTTCCCGGTTGGGGGGCAGCTTTCAGGAGGGCTCCGGGGGATTCCGGGCGGTTGCGGGGCTGGCAGGGAGACCTTCTTCTTTCCTTTTTTTTTTGGGGGGGGGCACCCTGCAAAGTTGAGCCAAGAAGATGGGATTTCCTTTTTTTTTCTTCTATGGACATCCGCTGGACGTCTGGGGCAGTTGGTCCTTTTCCTGTTCCGCGGGTCAATTGGGCCTGCCACAAGGACGGGGTTTGGGTCCATAAAACATTCGGACCTGAGCCGATCTGAGCCTATGGCAAGGTGAACGTTGATCTACTTCCCTGGTGCTAAGGACCCAGAGTTCTTCAAGGAAACCACTTACTCCGCTCCTTTTTGTGGGTTCCAAGTTGCTCGGATCCGGCAACGCTGAGTTGGTCTGGATTGGCACACCACCGAGCTCCAAGCCAATCAGAGGGAAGCTGACAGCACACCGCTCGCCCGTTTTCTTTTTCATTCCAACTCGGGTTCTTAAAAGGAACTCAGCCTCCCACCAATTCACATGGAACCTGACAGAGGAGTCCTGGAAGACCATTTTCCTAAAGGGACCCCCGAACGTCAGGTTCCATGCTAAAAGGGTGGGAGGGTAAGTTCCTTGGCGTTTTTTTTCCTTTCTCATTCCAACGTCCCCCAATGTCATGTGCTCAACAGGAAGTCAGGCGACCAAGAGCGGCGCGCCAATTTCCTTTAGCAAGTTTAATCCTCTCTGCTGGGGGGGAGGGGAAGGGGGGTCTTTCTAAAAGGAACTTCTTCCTTGGCTGGGTTACCCGGGTTCCTCTATAGGAACTTATTCCTTGGCTCTTTTTTTCTTCTTTGGGTTTCGCCTGGGGGATTTTTCGGGGAAGCATCGGGAGGCCTCATCGGCAAAGTCGAGGGCCTGCGCTTCTGGGGTGCCTCTCTGCTCCTGGTGCTGGACGGTGATGCGGTGGCCAAGCAGAACCCCGAGAAGATCGCGGCTCGGTGGAAGCGGTGGTCGTGGTAGAAGGCTCACTTCCTGGGTTCCACCGTGAAAAACACTTGAAAAAGGTTTGGACCAATGTAGTCCGTCCTTTTTTGCTCTTGCGGTTTTGGTTTTTGGTCGAGGTGGTTACACTTTTTGGGAAGTTCATGGGAAAAACCAGCAAGTGTAGACTTTGTTTGGCCAATCCACTCAAGTGAGAAGGGGCGGCCTCGCTCGTTTTCACCCCCCTTTTTTCTCGCGGTTGAGTTGGTAGGGGTCCGAGAGACCGAAGGAAGGCGGGCTGGAAGGACGGAGGTGGACTCCTGGAGTCCATGCAATGAGTGGAGCCAAGCTCTTGGTTGTCCCTCAAGCCGTTCAGGCCTTGCGCACGCCGACACATGAGAAGTCAAAGTACATTGCTTATGGGGGCTGGGGGTGAGGGAGGAGGGGGAGCCCTAAGCGCTTAAGAAGGCTAATAAGGCCAATAACCCCCCCCCAGACCCCATGAATTACTGGGGTCCCACCGGACAGCATCGATGAGGTTTGAGTTTGGCGCCTATTTTCGGCCTTGTGAAAGCTGGAATGAATGCAGAATCCCACATATGAAGCCCCTGCGTAAGCCACTCGTTTCTTGGTCAACTGACATTAATTGACAATTCATTGTGGCTGAACTCAGGACATCCAGCCATACGCAATACCATACAAAAGTGGCCCTTCAGGCCGGATGGCGATTTCAAGAAAGAAACCCTCGCCCCGCAATCTTGGAGGGCATGGTTCTTCAATTGGAACCCTCATGAAACTGTTGCCGCCCCTCATAGCTTCAATGGTCCAACCCACTTTGGCCGGGTGCATTAACGGCTCAGTCGGGGGGGGGTGCCAAAACAGGGCTGGACCACTCCTGCCCCATGTCTCGCTCCCCATCGAGGCATCAAGGCCGATCTCCGGCCCAAAGGGCCCCGGGCCCCTGCAGGATGTGGTGGGTTTGACCCAAAAAAGTCCCACGGTGCCTCTCAAACTTTTCATCGCGACTGGACTCGGACTCGGAACTGGTGCTGGTTTGACCAGGCCAAGGGATTTAGAAGTGGGACAACATCGGCGGGCGGGATTTCTTTTTGAGCGGGTGTTCCATGACGTGTGATGGTTCCCCGCTGAAGTGGGGCAGCGTTTTTTTTGTTTGATCGGCCACATTTTTTTATTTTATTTTTATTTTTTGCCACGGGTTGAACAAGTCTGTGCCAGATAAGAGAACACGTGCTCTGCCATTCAGCCTGGCAGATTTATGCTTGACAAGCAGTCAACCAGAAATTGTTTTACCCACCCTTTTAATTCTCTACAGGTTTTTGCGTCTGGGATTCTGCACTGTACCGGGCTTTGTGACGCAGTCTGGCAATTTGGCCATATTTGGCCTCCAATCATCCCAGGTTTTGAGAACTTTCCTACGTCTCGTTGGCCGAGGTCTCCTCGTTTTCCGTAAAGCTGATAGATTTCAGCAACTCGGAATTCATCGGAGCCTCGGACGCAAAGCAAACACCCGGTTCGAAAGGGCTCAAAGGGCACTGGAAATGGCGGGGGCCTTGGTTCAAACAAATCTGCTCAGAACTCCTTCCGGTCTGCCTAGGTGTGCTTCGAAGAAATGATGGATTCCACTGGCGAAGGCTTCTTCCCTCACAGTGACCTCTATGGGGTCAATTCGCCAATCCTAGGTTTGGGTTGGTTTTGGGTACCTCGCAAAAAGCTTTGATTGAGTGGTTTGGGGCTTGAACGCCCGGGTGCTTTCACCGCTGAAAGGGCTCCAAGTCAACGCGCTTCAAAAGGCCGCGAGGAAGCTGTTTTTGGGTGTGGTCAAGATCAGGTTCTGGCGTCCTGTGCCTGTGGGCTGGGAATTTGGTTCTTTCCCAAGCCCCACTGCTTTTTGATACAGGCTGACACCGAAAGACCCGTGACCATTTTCCCCACAGGATGTGCTTGAATTAAATTCAGCAGGCTGCATCGTGGTCGTCTTCTGTATATCTGTATATCCGTGAAACACCAGGGTTGCGGGGGTGTGCATCCATTTAAAAAGACACCTGGGTCGCTCCTGGTGGTTTCCGGGACTATAGGTGTCCTTTCTGGTTGTTTTGGTCAAAAAATCGATGGCGATTCCTGGTTTACCTGGCGGTTTCATAATCTACCAGGGCCATCTATTTCCACCTATGTCCCCCCCCCCCCCCCGGACCTGGCCCCTCCTCCCCCCCCCTCGGACCTGCCCCCTCCTCCTCCTCCCCCCCCCCTCGGACCCCCCCCGCCTGCTTTCGTTGTCCGCTTTCCAGGCGACGGCCCAGACCGGGAGCTGCTGGCGGCGCTGCGGAACTTCAGCGCGGCGCTGGCGGCGCTGGCGGCGCTGCGGGGCGGTGGCGGCGGGCCGCCGCCCGTGGGCCCCGCGCCGGACCTGCGGCCTCAGGACGCGGAGCAGCTGCAGGCGCGGGAGCCTAGGTGTCCTTTTTGGTTGGTTCGCGTAAAGAATAGAGGGCGATTCCTGGTTTACCTGGTTGTTAAATCATTCACCAGGGCCATCTATTTGCCCTAAAAGGCCACCTATGCGCGGGAGGGCGCCGCAGGGGGGGGGAGGGGGGCGAGGGAGGGGGAGGTTGTTTGAACAATAGTGGTAGTGGTTTACCTTGCTGAAATGACACGCATCTTTCAAGCCGCAAAATGCGACCTCGCCAACCAGAACTCAAGGTTTTAATCATTCCAATTAGGACTTCCGAAGGACCCTCTTGAAACAACACTATCTCGCAGGTGCCCCTAGTTTTAGTTGCGCAGGTTTCGCTCTTTTCGGGTGCGTCACGCAACGGGCTCTGAGAATGGTTGTTGTTCAAGCAGAAGGCATTTTGCAAGCTGCGGCAGTGACGCTTCAGGTGCTGGCAGGTGTTTGCAACTCATGCAACGACTGGTGGCATCATAGGCCTAAGGTTTTTGCTTTGAACCACCTCTGTCTTGACTGCTCAGGCCCACAAAAGTAGGGGCCTGCCCTACACTCTGCAGGACGTTTCACCAGATGATTGCTCAAAGTAGATCGCTGGGCGTTGCCTATTTTGCGGTTATCTGCAGAAAAATGGTCCACCTGGCTGGACCGGGGCAACCCACAACCAGTGTTTTGGCATACGTTTGACAAACCGAGTTTCGGGGTTTTGCCCCCGCCCCATAGCCGCTTTGCTCAGGGTTCGGGTTCCCGTGTGGAGTTTCCGGGTTTTTCTCTGGCAGCGCGATTCAATCGAGCCGGAAATGGTCGCCGAAAGCGCCAAAAGGGGACACGGGCCCCGCGTCGCGGCCGAACGCCTGCACGCGCGGCTCTCGCGCCTGCGCTTGCGGCGTGGCGTTGGGGAAAAAGAGGGCGGCGCGCGAGGCGAGGGATGGGTTGCTTGGCGAGGGGATTGGGCCAAATATGTGTATACACATATATATATATATATGTATCTATATATTTATGTATATACATCTATCTATCTATCTATCTATCTATCTATCTATCTATCTATCTATCTATCTATCTATCTATCTATCTATCTATCTATCTATCTATCTATCTATCTATCTATCTATCTATCTCTATCTATCTATCTATCTATCTATCTATCTATCTATCTATCTATCTATCTATCTATCTATCTATCTATCTATCTATCTATCTATCTATCTATCTATCTATCTATCTATCTATCTATCTATCTATCTATCTATCTATCTATCTATCTATCTATCTATCTATCTATCTATATATAAAGAAAAAAACGCGGTCTCTCGCCCGAACCCCTTCCCCCCAACGGTGGGGCTGTTTGAAATTAGTGTAGGGTTGGCTTGGGCAATCTTGAAGGGTTGATTTCGGATACATTTTGGGAACACCCGCCTTGTGGAGTGGTTGTTGGGCTTGCTTGGGGTTCATTTGGTCTTGGTTGGCTTGCTCGTCAAAGTTCTTCAGCTTGCACAACTATCACAAGGTGAGCCCTGTGCGGACTTTCCGCGGGTCTGCCTCAAACAACTCGTGCATTCTCCCACTTCTCCTGCGGCACCCCCGGCCCCGTGGACCGCTGTGCCATCCAAAGACACGCAAAGCCGCAGAAGGCTGCACTTTTTGCGCATGTCCACTCCCCGCCACACGCGCAACCGTTTGTTCTCATGCGTGCTTATTCTTCTCCAATCTGTTGTCAGAGAGCTAGCTTTCAATCTTCTAAATGTCCACACAAGAGCAGACCCCGAAAGTCCGTGCAGGGTTCAACTTTAGATGTTTGCCGTGAAAGAGGCACAGCGCACGAGTGAGCAAAGTGGCAATTTTGAGTTTTTGAGGTTCGGCCCATCTATGTGAGGGCTCTGCGGGTGATACCCTGGGCGGGGGGGGAGGCAGGGGGGCGCAGGACGGGACCACACAGATTATATATATATATATGTATGCATGCGCAGTTATGTATGTAAACTTTCAATGTTGGTGTCAAAAATCACCGCCTTTTGGACGCTCAGAAAGAAGTCTTGATTTGGAAGCTGTGGCCTTGACCTTGCTTTCAACAGGTCACAAAAGGATCCAACTCCATGGGTGCCCTTTCTCACAACCTCAAAAAGGAAGACGCCTCATGTTGACCCCTTGTTAATCAACCCCTGTTAATTAATATGGGGGTGTTCCCCCTCCAAAAGTCATGATTCCCCACTAAACCGAGGGACATCCCCATATTAATAAACAGGGGCTGATTAATATGGGGTAAACATTAATTTAGACACTGCCTGCAGTCTCTTTCAAGCATGGTGCCTTCAAGAAAGGAGACAGATCGATTTTCCACGGTGGCAGCTTTCCATTGGGTTTTTGTCTCGCTCTGGGCTGAAAGAAGACCAGACAGCAAGGGTAAAAAGATTATGGACAGATCGCAGAAGGCATGCTGGATCAACTTTTTTTGGTGATTTCAGGAACGTGCAAGGTTTTACGATTTTGCTGCGGCGCTTGGATCTGGGTTCCTCTCACGGAAAACACATCTACAATTTGAAGGTCTTTGGAGCGGCCGGGATTGAATCTAGAATTCTCTGCGAGCTCTCTTGCTTGTCCGCGCTCAATTCCTCGAAGCACAGGTTGGCTTTAGAATGGGCTGTCATTGATGATCCTGCAGTCCTTTGCTAAGATGACTGACTAGTCTGAATTCTTTGCTTTGCACAGCCTTTCCCGCCGGCTCCTCAGTCCGTTCGGAGGATCTTGTTCTGGCAGGCGCCCCCCACTGAAGATTCCGGCTGGCGCCTCATTCAAGTTTGGGCTTTCAGCACCGAATCTTTTTTCAGCTCCAGTAATGCCAACGCATGTTCGGCCAGCCCTACTAATCCCAGCTGCAACGCTGGCTTGCAGGTAGCCTATCCCCAGCTGGTACAGTCACATAGTTTTCAGTCTCCGCGTAGTTTTGCAGTCTTCCCCTTGGTCTTTCTTGTCTTCCAGCAGTCTTGTACTGTTTACAGGCATTGCCAGCAAAGCCGATGCAAATGGCGAAGGAATGTGGTTCCTCAAAATAAGGGGGCTTAGAGGGACGGCAGATTCTTGCGCCGGTGAATGCTGATGCAAAAGCAGTCTCCTCCACTTGGCTGTGGGACTGACAAAAGTGATTGATCCACGGCGAGTATCTGATTGCAAAAAGCAGCATTCCTCCCCAAGCATCTCAACATTAGTCCCCAATCAACGGCTGGATGTTTTCATAGGATGAGCTGCAGTGTTGTTGTGATCTGTGCCCGGAGTATTCCCTAATCTTCCCGTAGGTAGTCTTGACAACTTCTTCTCATCGTCTTCCTGTACTCAAGGCCATTCAAACATCCGCCAGTGCACCCCTGTCCTCACTCAAGCTTCTCCAACCATGTGGGGACCTTTTCAGTCCACAGCGGAGCAGCCGACCGTGCAGCTTTGTCCTTCTAAGACGACCTTGTTAGACACATGTTTGTTTGCACCCGAAACAGGCCTTTCTTTCGGGTGTATAAACCCTTTGCTTCTCCGCAAGCTTGCGTTGCAGCCTCAAAAGACTGATACTGTAGATGCAAGTGCCAACCTGACACGGGTTCAGGCACTGGTGGGGCGACAACCCCTATGTAGTGAGCAGGAGGAAACCTCCGCAGGTCAGCAGCCTCCAAAGAGTCGAGAGGATGTTGATCTCCCTTTCACCCCAACCCGACCCAAGCTTCCAACTGCAAAGGGGCCAGCGCCCTTTCTGAGACCAAGGGAATTCCGTCATTCAGTCGTCCAAGCTTGGCTGCGGGCAAAGTCAAGTGTTTTGGCACCTGGGGCAAGCGCGGAACCAGGGTTCCCAAAAAAGATTTAAACGTTCCCATATGATTGTTTTTTCGACACCACCCAGGAGTATGGGTGTGTCGTTTTGTTTTCTTTTTTCTTTTTCGGGGGAGCGGGAGGTCCCGCCCTGCTGTTTTTTTCTTTTGGCCTCCCTTAAGTTCACGCCAGAAAGACGCGGGCCGGCGGTTCTTGAAGCCAAGGCCGTAGGCCATGGCTCGGTTGGCCGGGAGCCCCGGCCTGCGAGTGCGAAGGTAAGTGACGCGGCCAAGGGAAGCTGACAGCTTGGACTTTCCTTTTGAAGCCCCATATCTTGAAGCCTATCCAAGCATCATGGAAGCTGCCCCATATCCACTTCCATGATTGTTGGATGGAAGATATCATGACCAAGTAAGTAGCTAATGCGAACGCATATCCAAGAATCATGGAAGCTGACATGGTTTTGGACGACCACTTTCCTTTTGGGGAAGATGTCCGCTTCCATGATTGTTGGATGGAAGATTTCATGACCAAGTAACTAAGCTACTTGTTGCGAAGAAAGTAACCAGGTGAATCAAAGTACAATGAAGTAACTAAATAAACCAGTAACCAAGTACTTAGAATTGTCTAATCGAATCTAATCCCGCAGCAGGGTGAAAGCAGATGGCAGCTGGCACAAACCATTGTGGGCAAGTAAAGGGGAGGGTTGAACCAAATGGGGAGATTGTGCCATTTACTTAACCACCTAAGTAACTAACTAAATAACTAACGAACGAACGATCGAACTATCCAACCAACCATCTAAGTAACTAACTATCTAACTAACATAGACATTCATCCAAGTAACTTGCCAACTCACCTAGCCTAATTATCTAGCTAACCAATCCAAGGATTCATCGAACTCCTGGCGTTTTTGTTTTGCGCTGCCTTCGGGTTTCCCTACGCCTTCCGGAGATGGACTTTGGTATGTCTTGGCTCTCAAAATGGCAGCTCCTGGCAGAACCCGGAACCCGGAATCGTGTATACATATATATATATATATGTATGTAGATAAGTACACATATATATATATATATAGAAGTATATACATATACAAGTATATATATATATATATATTATACATATACATATGCACTTTCATTATTTCATTAGCCAACGTGTTTTCTTAAGCACATGTAACAGCAAATCGAATACAAGCAAATCGCCCCGCTCGTTCCACGTGAGAGTCTCGCTCGCGTGAGGCTCCCTGGAGGAGCAGTTGGGGAGAGGGATGGGGGCATTTAGAGGTAAAGGACGTGGCAGACTTAATCTTTACTGGTGGGACCAAAAAATGATGGACACAGACCATCGTTTTCTGATGTCCAGTCCAGAGGGGTAAGATCCATACCTGACTGGCAACGGTTTTACCTACTCTTTCAGTGCTCTTTAGATGGTAATCCAAGACACATGTGGCTTGACCCTTATTTCCCGTACACAGAAGAACAAGCAAGCAAATGAACAAACAAAAAAAACAAACAGAAAAAAACAAAAACAGACAAACCAACAGGATAGCAACTCTGAACAAAGACTGGCGGGTTTTCGGCGGGGTGAGCGCCTTTTCCAACCGCCAGGACTGGGTGGTTGCCGCTTGCCGGGCACCATTTCCGGCACAGGCGCAAAAAACACCGACCCTCTGGGGGCTTCTTTTCTGGGGAGTCTTCTTCACGTTGTTATTTCCCGGGATCCAACTCAAGCTCCAAGTTTTTCTTGGGTCCAGCACCGTTGTGCTCCCTTGACCTGAAGTTGAAGCTTTGGGGAGGTTCCTCAGTCGTCGCGTGTTCTTATGCCTAATTGGGGCGAGGAGCTTCGCCGCATGTGGGAAGCCACTCTCTGTCAGTGTCCATATCAGTTTTCCTTGGACCATAACTAAGTTGGAGCCTTCGCGGAGTTTATTTGATCAGCTTAAGACATGATTTGAAAAACAAAAGCCATGCAAAGCAAACCTTGGATTTCGTTCCGGCAGAGTAGTGGACCCAGTGGCCCGTGCGCCTATTCTTTTTTTGCGCCGAGTCTTCCATTCGCTGGGATCTTTTTAGCAGGTGCGAGTCCTTCGGGCGATGGGAGGTGCTGGCGGGGAAGCTCAAGGGGGTTGACGTGGGAGGGTCACCGCGAACAAATATGTCAAAAAAAAAGATGTCCATAATAGGATGTCCACAAATATGCCCATTTTTTTTGTTGTTTTGCTTTTAATGGGCATCCTCAGAAATAACATGCCCATATTTGTCCATTTGGGGTGGACCCCTGTGTGAGGTCCATCTTGGAATCTCATTTTTTTAGTTGGTTTTGGTTTTGTTGGGCTTGAGTCTGCGGAGTCACCGGCGACGTCGGCAAATGGTTTTCCTTGTAAAGCGAGAAGTGGTCAAGCTATCCTATGGTGCATGTTTCTGAGTTTCAGAGAGCAGAGGTGCCTGGCATCGACACACTTGCCGTGGCGAGCTTTCCCGACTGAGGATGCGAAGTAAATTTTGATCCCATCCACAGAAGCAACACCCCTGATGGCTGGAAACAGATAGAGTTGCCTTGGCTTCCTGCCCACAGCTTGTGGCTTGTAGATTTCTGCCGATCTTATTTTTTTCGAGGATTGGGGAATTCGTGCTTGGATTCAGCAATCCCCTTGAACCAAGCCCTGAAACCGGTGGAGTAGAACCAGGAGGGACATTGTGGGCTCCGCCTCTTGACAAGGAGCTCATATTTGGCAGTAATTCACCGTGGCTTGCTTGCAACGTTGAAGGGATCGACCGCCTGAACCTTCGAATGCACCTGAACAAAGGAACATCATCCATCCTTTTCCCGCAATTTGTATGTTCCCCCCAACCGCTGAAAGCTATGGGGTCTCTGCCCAGACAGGAATTGGAGTGGTTCGGAGCATGTAGGGTTCCAGACAATTCGAGGGGCTTCCGAGCTGTTGGGGGTGCCTTGGCATTTAGAAAAGTTTGAGGGTTCAGGTCGTTGCTGAGCACCTCCTTACACATACTTACTATCACTCGCTCAACTTATACTCACTGGCTTTCAACCACTCCAAATCCCTCCACTTCATTCCACTCTGTCGCAGTTGCTGGTCGATGTCTCTCGCAAAGGCCCCGCCGCGGCGCTTCTTTTCCGCCCGGGGCCAAAGCGGAGAAACCGGGGGTCGATTTCCCGACTTGGAGGGCCTGAAGTCAGTGAATCCCCATGGTGGTTCCATTTTGGGAAGAGCAACCTGAAATTGGGGGGACCCTGCCAGTGGGGCTACCTGGGCGAACACGTTTCGGTTCGGTTTCTCGGGATCGCCCCCCCTGAACCGCTCTCCCCTTGATTTCCTCCGAGCTTAGACAAGGCCTCAGGGTCTTATCTGGAGGTGGGAATCCCACGACTTTTCAGGATGTTGAGGTGATTGACATGTGGTTCTGTTGCTTATTTTTCTTTTTATTTCTTGGACCCTCGGCAAACAAATCGGTTTGTGGGTAGAAATCCCCCGCGTTTGACGTTCCTAAGAAGATTTCATACGCATCGCCGACAGAGGCCCGTGATAGACAGCTGTGACAGAGCCTGTGACCGACAAACAGCTGTCACAGAGCTTGGAGTACCCGAGGCTCGCGTCGGTGGCGTTTTCTTGTATTCGTGGCTGCAATGGAATACTATCATGGCTGTCGGGACAGTTGCGTCTGGCTTGCCGGCCTATGCGTGTTCCTTGCGCACCTTTGCAGGCAGTCGTTTTGCGTTGTGTGCCGCTTCAATTAAACAGCAGGGCGTCGCGCTGCTTGCACGCAGGCAAGGCAGTGCAGTGGCAGTGGCTGCCAGGGTCTGGCGCCACTGCTCAAGCTCGCGCCAGCTATCAGTGCCTGCCGCTCTGTTCCCGTTGCACTTGGCAGCAGCTACGGTGTATTTTGATCAGGGGTCAACAACGTAGTTGTCCACTGTTTCGTTTGCTTTGCATTTTGCATCACCCATGAAACACTGCTTGCTAGCAAGGTTGGGCTCGTTAGGTCGCGAACATCTGAGCGGCTTCAAACAACCATGCCTACTGAGGCTTTGAATTGGTAATGTGTGAGGTGGGAACTGTTCGAAGTACAGTAGGTTTTGTGGGGGTGACCAAGTTGTTTGACCCTGTGCGTGCGCCTGCTTTCCGCCATATATTTGGTAGCCCATTCTTAGTTGAAAGGAAGACAGGGGGGCCTACTCAAGTACCCAGCAAGAACTGCACAAATGCCCGAAACCCGCCCAATTTTCCCCATGTCTCTTGGGGAATCATTTGGAGCATTGGTCCCAGGAAGAGAGCATGCGCTCCACCACGCGCGGGTGCCCAATGTCCGATACCGCTTTCCGCCAGGTGGCTCCTTCCCAATGACCTTCCATCTCCCCTGCAACGCAAAATGGATACTGCCCTAGACTTGTGCGGGTAGTCTGAGAGTCGTGGGAGAAAGGGCGGATGCCTTGTAGGCTTCTTGCGAACAGAACATGAAGAGGGCGGTTGGATGTTTTGGGCGTACGTTGCGTTGGTTTGAGGGACAAAAAGGACACCTAAAGGGCTTCCCTACTTTGAGACACTTGGTGTTCGTTTGGGGTTTCGCCCAAAAAAGACAAGGGGTAAAAAAGACCCAAGTGGCTAGGAATTGTAAGTGCGCAGTTTGAGTTTGGATGACGGGACTTGTTACGAGTTCCCAAACCCTACGAAAAGATGCGCTAGGTCCTAGACCAGAGTCCGTGAGCATGGCTGGAGGTTCTCAAGAATTACTTTCTCAGGTAGGCTTGATGTCAATGGAGTCAGCTGTCCGGGTCTTGTAAAAGCAGCCAAGCCCGGTGGTGTGTACGAGTCCTTCACTTTGGTCTATGTGACGTGTTCCCTTCCCAACAAAAGCCGCCGCCACGTTATTATTCCACCAGAGGTACTCAGATCCGGGGTCCTGATTTCAAGTCAGCGTTTCGCTAGGTGGCGGCGGAAGGCCGGCCAGCTGCAAAGGCGCGGCTGCTTGGAATCCGCTCCCGGGATGCTCCTGGCCAACCGAATCCGAAACCCCGGAAACTCTGCCCCCCCCCCCCCCCCGGAAAAAGGGGCGGGCTTTCGGCAAAGAATGAGAATCGGCTTGGGTGTGGCTCAAGATCAAGCAGGGCTTGGATAGGTGCCATTTCGGATACCCTTGTTTGGGCCGCATCACTTTGAAGATGATTGGTCGTTTGCTGGATGAGCAAGTCCAAAGTACCCAAAGAGAGCCCGGTCCTCCAACCTTTGGGGAAACAAGCCATTCTGATCGTTTGCTGTTTTGAGTTGGTGCCCTTTTCGAGGCTGCTTTACAGGGAAGCCAGACTACTCATCAGGTGACTCCCCCTATCTCGAGGGCAAATCAAACTAAAGTAGGGCACGGTGATGTTTCAAGCTTGCAACTTGGGGTGGTCCAACTCTAACAAGGTTTGTTCGCCGTCCGGTGATGTTCGGCTTAACTTTGTTTGCTTCCGGCTTTTTGCCAGCCTAAAAGCTGGGGCTTCAAATCGGCTAATTCACCACGCTGGCAGGCAGGCGCAGTTCAACCAGTCCAGGGTTCAAACATCTTCTCTGACAACCCATCCGACCAGTTGCACGAGAGAGAGGTCATTGGTATCCTTGGGCCTTTGCAATAGATGAATTGCTCAAGATGGCCGGGGGGAACGACGGACAGAATCATCCAAGAATGATGGACTCATCTTATTGTTGGCGGCAAGGCGCAATTTGTTTGAACAACCAACCCCGGGTCCCAGCTTTAAACATGTGGGTGTGTCTTTTTTCGGGGACCCCAAAGATGGTTGTTTCCTCTTGGTTTCCCTTTCCCAACCGAAAGAGGGCCACAAAAGAACTACGAGCGCCTGGCCGCTTTGCTTCTCAGGTCTTTGGAGATGGAACCTGACAACCCCCGGCGTGCCGATCCCGGTTGGTGTCAGTTGGTTCGGTCCGTGGCTTCTTATTGCAACAGCTTTGACGAGGGGAGGCCCGAAGCTCGACCTGTTTGCCCCTCTTGAAGACCCCCTTTAAGAGGGGGATGCTGGGAGACTGGCACAGCCACAATCAACATGTGGGTAGAAGGTCGGTAGCTGTCAAGGGGTAGATGAGGGGTATTATAGGTTTTGAGTCCATTCTTGTGCCCGAGTATGACTCTAAATCCAATTGGCTTTGTCTCTTACTGGCGGTGCTGGTCATGTTGGCACTACTGAAGTCTTCGTTCACGGGAAACCCGAGACATTTCGGGTTGGATGATTATCATACTTCACCCATATCTGTTTTAGGGTACCAAGTTGAGCATGTATCAGGCAAAATCCTTCACCACAACTTTGGTTTGAGTCTGTGGCAGAACCCCCACAGCCCCCACCACGCCGCGGCTTCACGGCTTCACGGCTTCACACACGTCCCCATGCGCACGCGTCTTACCACCCCCCAGCCCCCAGTCAAAGTATGAGCGCGCAGATGTTTTCTTCCTGTCCATGAAATCTTTTTTTGTTTTCTTCCTTTTCTTTTTCTCTTTTTTTTGTTTTTTCTTCTTCTTCTTTTTCTTCTCGGGGTCTTTTCAGGGCTCCCATGTTGAGAGCAGCATGGCGTTTTGAGCTCCAAGCTCCCAGTTCTCGGGGCCCGAAGTTGAGTGCGGATCTCGGCGGGAGGAGTTCGTCCTTGCCACAAGGCGAGTTTCCCTTTTGGCTCCCCTTCAGAACCCAAAAATACCAGGAAGGAACCCGAAAACAAGGGAAAAAGAAGAAAACAAAACGAAAAAAAATAAGAAGAAAAATAAGAAGAACACAAAAACAGACACACCCAGCAACTTTGATTTGAGCAACGCTTCCATAGGCTTCCCTGGCGTGTCTCACGTCCTTCCTTCGGTTGGTCTCCTTTGGGCTGCTTCTGTTCCATTTTGAGAAACACAACGATTTTAGAAGCCCGCATGGTCGTTGCCCGGTTGGTGATAGCCGCTCATCCACTGTATAACTCAGTTATAGCCATGTCCATTGAGGGCAAGCAGGACCCTACATGGGGGTGGTGGTCAAACCTTAGTTTTTTTTGTATGGGTATGTGTCAAAATCAAGGCGCAACATGTGTTCCTTCTTTTGACTCCCCTTCAGACCAACCTTAAAATGGGGTACCCTCAAAAAGCCAACAGGCCGTGGCGATGCGTGGCTTTATTGCGCAAATTTTGGCGTGCAGGCGTTCGCCACCTCCGAAATCCTGCGGAGTGGCCGAAAGGGGTAACACGGAGCCTGTGTGCCATGTAAGACAATCCCGTAGCGGACAATACCAAGGATAGCGGGTTTGCCCCCCTTGCTTTTTTGCCTGGTGCCTGGTGCTTGTAAATCAAACTTGCAAAACCCAACCATTGTAAGAACTCCTATGTATTGAGTCTCAAAATGATAGCCTTAGCCATCTTTCTTCGCGGCTTTCGGCTACTGGCACAGATTTTGCGACTGCGAAATGTGTAAGAACTACGAATGCAATCATGGCCATAGCCCGCAAAAGGAGTTTCTACCCTGGCAAACATACCGTATACTCCTGAGAAATACCCCAGGTGTGTCCCCCCAGTTTCAGGAAAGTACACTTTTTTTTTTTTGCAATCACAGAAGTGGACGCTTGGGGGGTCCCCAAAAGGAAAGTTCTTCCGAAGGCCTCCGATTGTCAGCTTCCAGGATTGTGGAGTGTATGGTTGGAACACGTGTTTGGTCTCATTCAAGAGCACGTTGTAGAAGTGTCTAGATATTTTCTTATTTTGATTCATACAATTGACCGACTTTTGTTTTACCCGTGGACATCCACTCCAGTTGGGTTGGATGAAGCCCAATGGGATAAACCACCTTGGGCGCATTTGTTTGGTCCATTCATTTCCCTTGCCGAGGTCTGGCCGAGCTGCTCAGGACCTTGAACCATTATGACCCCCAGCAGGCGGAGGGGGGAGGGGATTTGGGGGGTGGGTTGCGGGGGGGGGGGGGGAACTGGCGGGTCACACTGAGGACCTGTCTGGACAAGAGACATGGGAGTGTCTCTCTTTGTTTGAGGCTTGGGCTTGACGTACAAGGGAAACCAAAAGGAACACCAAAGCCTGAAAACGGGGGGGGGGGGGTGCGTCACATGAACACTTTCGGTGAACCTCAAAAGTCGGGGTATTCTCTTTAGATGGCGCCCAGCTGGAACTGTCAAGCTGGGGCACCCCCCCCTGAAACAGGCAAAGTCTCGGAACTCGGGTTGCCAACCATTTAGCTATTCCCCGAACCAAAGTAAATGAAGTAAATGATCCCTCGGCTGAGATGTTTTCTTCACAGGCCAAACCAAACCATGACGTCTTTGGTTTAGGTCCGCTCATGTAGGTGGGTTTGTTTGAAAACAGATGGCGCTGGTTTCAGTTAGCTTCCAATCATTTGGGCTTTCTTTCTGAACGAGCTGGGGCAAAGGGAATCTCACTTACGAAGGTCCCTTAGCTTGAGGATCCCTGGATTCCGATTTTATAGTTGTCACAATTTGCCCTGAATCATAGAGGGCCCTTTGTCTTTTGGAGCAGCTCCTCCTCGGTGCTGCGAAAAAGCGGTGACACCCTCGAAGAAGTGTGTACCGCACCCTCCTGAGGGCTGTCCAAGTGAAAGGTTGCCACCAACCGTTCGCATATGTTTTTTCTTTCTTTTTTTTCTTTCCTCTTTTTTTTCTTCCTCTTTTTCTGTGGGCTACATTCGCAGCTCTATGTTTCCTGTTTTCCCTCTGTAAAGTTGCACATGGGCTGCCAGTTGGAGTTCGCCCAGCGATCCCGGACCCTGGTGGGTTTTCCACCGAAAAGGCGAAAGGGAAGGGGGGTCCATTTGTTTGGGCTTTCATTGGCCCGTGTTGGCGACCCCGAACCACAAAATGGCGAGTGCTGTCGTGGACGAAAAGCAGGAGGGGGTGGTTGCTTGGATACGAACACCTTCAAGCCATTGCTCAAACAACCCGGACCCTCAAACTACCTGATAAAGGTGCGAGTGCCTTTTTGTTTTCAAGGGCAGTCTTTTCAAGTCTCCTGGACCTGGTTTTGGCTTCCCTCGGACGGAAGTTCCAAGCGGAAAAGAGAGATCTACTCCCTCACAAATTCACACGGAACCCCCAAAGAGGGGTACCATGGAGCTTCCTCTACTCTCTTGGGCGGTTTTCTTTCAAAATTCCAGGCAACGGGCTGTTGCCGGAAAGCGGCCGAAAGGTGATTCGGCTCTTCGAGCAGAGGGACCCCAAGGTGGCCTTCAAGAACCCAGAGGCGGTGCGCGAGCGCGGGCCCTAGGCCCTGGACGGCACAGTCTTTTGGTCCGGCAGCCCGGAGGTGGCAACGAGTCTCAAGATGAGGGAGCCGGTTTGCGGCTTTTCGCGGCCCCATTTTTTTTTGGTAGGAACTCGAGAAGGATGCCGTTGAACACAGAAACACCCATATGTGGCCCTACCAACATGGAACCAGAATATGATATGCTTGTTTGGGTTGCCCATCTTGGGAGGAAGGCCGGAAGGAAAGTGCCTGGGACTGCAGATTGACATGTCGGTTCCCCATTTTTTTTGGAGCACCTTTAGCAGATAACCTAAGCCATGGTAAGCGAACCTCTCCTGAGACAGTCCCTTTGGGCCGAAAAAATGGGCCCCTCGTCCTGTGACCGCCAGCTATTTCGAGATTGCGCGCGGCTGCGTCGTGTTATGAGCGCCTTTGTGGGTTTGATTGCCTTTCCGTTTGGTTGCAAGACAACAGGAGCATCCGGCCAGGGGTAAACTTGGACTAAATCCATTTCAGCTCGGACAGCTCACATTGATTGTGACCCGCATTTGTGCTTGGGTTTGATGGGGTTGGTCCAAGGCCTCAGTCTTGATTTGCTCTTTCACCAGGTTTGATACCCATGGTTTCGCAGCGGCAAAAAGTCGTTGCAGGGCTCTCAAACGGGCTCCTAGATTTGAGCTTGGCCAAGGGGGGACGAGACACGGGCTTTCGTTTTTCTTTGGTTCCCTTTCAAACCAACCTCAAGAGGGTTGCCTTACTCACATGCAGCCCAACACAAGGTCTTTTGAGGAAAAGGGTCCAGGGGCCAGATAGGTTCCATGGCAGCGTGGGATACCCTAACACCGCCATGGCATGGCAAGTAAATGTCAGGGCGTACCCTTGGGATTTCAAAGGGACCCCGGGTCGGAACGTTTTCATCACCAACAAAAATTGGGCTCCGAATTGTTCAAACTCAGTACATGACGAAGACCTCTGATATATTGTTTTCGATACCTTTATTTTGCCATCACAGCCCGGAACACCCAAGCGCAGATCTAGCTGCCAAGAAGAGACAGGCCCAGCTAGGGCAAGCGATTGGTTGACCCCTTGGCTAAAATCCAACCACGGCTTTTGCACGAATTCCTCGTTTTTTTGGCCATGGCGTTAGGTGACGGTGGCTTGCGAACTGCGGTTTCGGCGGCAAGCGAAGGCGTTTAGGTCACAAACTGTTGCGCAACGAGGTACGTCCGAGCGCTGGTCTTGGCCAATCGCTTGGACTTTGTGGATTTGGACGTGGTGTTGGGCAAGCAATGGCGGGAGGTACCCCGCCATTCCCGTCGTGCCATTTGGGCTGGATCGACCTGTGACGTCTGAAGCAGTGGTTCTACACCGCAAACACTCGATGTTAACCCCGGATTGATAAGCCGCTGGCTGATTAATAGGAGGGTTTCTCCTTGTTAGTGGGGGGTTCATTTCTATTGGAGGGGAACACCCCCCTAATAGGACTGGTTTATTCACGTGGGGTCAACATGGAGGTTTTGCGGGGGCAATCGCCACCTAGCCCTAGTTTAAGGTCAACAGAAAAGGCTGCCCCTTTGTCATTTTGTCCCCATGGCCGCTGCAGGTCGGGGATTCAGCAACGACCTTTCCCTGTGGGGTATGCAAATCTGGGCCTCGGAGTGGTTGCCCACTTTGGTTTGTGGAGCATCGGACTGTGCAGCCTGGGATGTTTTGATGGGTGGTCACAGGGAACGGTGCACAAGATTAGGCGGCACAGGAAGATCATTGCAGGAAGCGGAGAGAGTTGCCGGGATGTGTTTGGGCCCAGCCATTCGGCAAAGCGCATTGACTTGTATGTCCATCTTTGCCTCCGGTCCGTCCCCAAACATAGAAGCAAATTGCAAGACAACTCGCCACGCTTTTCCCCACGAGTGGGATACCTTGCACTCCGCTCGAACGCAGCTGTGAGGCTCGAAATTTAATTCAATGGGGGCGGGTTTTCAGCAAATCGACCAGTTGAACTCATTATTGCCGGCAGCCGATCCCTTTTCAAAACGCTTCCCCTCGAAGGCGGTCATTGTTTTTTTGTGTCTCACTGATTGCCCGCCTGGCCTCTGTGGAACCATGGCGCGGCCACTGAGGCTGGGTGGGTGGGGGCAAAGCATCGGGGTTTCGCTTCCGGTTCCTTAGTTTTTTAGCCTTTTAGTGTTTGGTGGTAGTTTCCATTTGACCCACTAAAGGTTAGTCACTTTTAGCGGGGGATCTGAGAGCGCGGCCCAGCTTGGTTTCGCTTTAAACCCGAAAGGGTACCCTTTTCAGTGACATCCGCTGAGGGTCCAGCCGGCCTCGAAATGAAGTGACTTGGTGGGTAGCCGGTGCTGCGGCACTCCCGATCACAAAGTCTAGATGATCGGATTTTTTAGACAGACCATTGCTCAAATGCATGAACAGAAAGGGTCGAGGGATCAAGAAATCAGCAGTTGCATGTCGCCAGTAAGGTGTTCTCCAACCAAAACGATGCTTGCTGTTTGAGTGGGCAACATAATGGCTTTCTCTCATGGTGGCCCTATGGTTGTTTACCGCTGGATCCGCAGCGGCTCTCAACACTTGCTCCATCCGCTCACTACGGATGAATCACGTGGATCTCTTGAACCCCAACCTCGAGTTTCACACCCTTCTTGTTTGTCCGAGGAAGCGGCTATGTACATGGAGCTTTCTATCTACCTTCCGATAGATACAAGGATTGTGAGCAGGAGGCGAAGAATCTTAGCTTTTGGTGGCACCGACCACGTAAATGGAGGTCTGTCCAAAACCCAAGCATGGATGCTGGCTCGAGCTGTCGGTTGGGGATGCTGTGCAATACCGGCCACCACCCACGTCAAGAGGACTCAAAGGGTTGGCTTACGGGAGTACCCCAGGAAATTGGCTTTCAACCCAGACAACACTCTAACTCCTTAGCAATCTCTGTAACGCAATCCTTCGAATGATGCAAGTGATCTGGGCAAATTGGAATGAGCTCAACCGAGCTCACCCATGACGATCCCTGACAACAAGTCCTGATTTCCGACATGTGAGTTTTAGTCATTTGCCCGGAGGTGATCTATGCAATGCATCACGCAGGCTTACACAAAACTGCCCCTTCCGGACTTCCGGAGGGCTTCCGCGACAAAGCCAACAGAAGAAGCTCCAAACTTCCATTACCTTGCCCCATGGGGACCCCAAAGAAGTATCTTGGGTCCAAGCCATCCAACATTTGCAAAGTAATCACCCACCAACTAGCCACTAGTCACCAGCTAACCAGTAACCACCTGGTGACCAAGGAACATGTGGCTGTGGGTCAAAACCAATGGTACCATTTTGGGCTAGGTGCACCACCCATTTTAGTCTATTTTAGTGGGGATTGGGATGTTCACTGGGGGTACGATTTGGCTTTTGACCCAGGCCATGTGTCAACCAACCACCCAAGGTGCTCCTTGGACATGGGGCGGACCCAGCGTTCTGAGCATTCCTTTCACAGGCTCACAGAGCAGAAATACAGCAAGGGATTGGTTGTCGCATGAAGGTCCGGGGGTTTTCAACCGAACATTTCTGGCAGGCGTTCTGTTTTTGTTTCTGTCGTGGTGACTTTTTTTTGGATTATGATTATTATTATCATCATCATTATCATTATCATCATTATCATTATTTTTCTTCTTATTATCATTATTATTATTATCATTATCATTATTATATTTATATTTGCTTTTATAATCATAATTATATTTATTATTCTTCTTTTTCTTCTTCTTATTATAATTATCAATTGATATTATTATTATATTATTATTATTATTATTATTATTATTATTCTTGTGGTGGCTACGGAGCCCAGGTTTGGGAAATTCCAGAATTTGTCCAGAGTCCAGATCCTTTGAGACCCTTTGAGACATCCCGGTTTGCACTGAGTTCCAGGAAAGGTTCACCGTATGCAGTTTCCTGGAAGGCAGTTGCTTGCGAGGGCTCGTGCCGCGAAACCCCGAAAAGGCTAAAACCAGGAGGTTCGTGCTTGCTCATGACAAATTTTGCTTGCGCATCGAACCTATGTGCAAGCACCCATCATAGGTGTCCTTTTTGGTTGGTTTGCTTACAAAATAGAGGGCCCTGGTTTAGATGGGGTTTATTCCATTTACCGGGGCCATCTATTTTTCCAAAAGGCCACCTATGGCACCCATGGTTAATCTCAGTATGTCGGGGCAATCAGCGGAACCATTCAGAGAGAAAACATCATCCAAGGAGTGCCCGGAAAGCAATGACCAGGCCAAGCTCAGAATTGGTGGATACCCAATAGCGGTCGCTGGAAAGAATGGCTTCTTTCTTCCCCGGTTGGAGGAGAAATCGGGTCGCATTCACTCTCAAGGAGGGTTCAATGGGACTCGTGGGTAAAGCAACCTCTTTTTTGGTTCCCAAACAGCGACCCCGCTCAGGTGACATGCCCGGGGCCTCAGTATGGGTTCCAAGTCGGCGATTCTGCCACATCTAGCACCCCGTGACCCATTTTGGAATCCTCGGGTCAAAACCACAGCTACTCGCTGAACACGCACTACTTGTGGGGAAGTTTGTGGGAGGGAACAGCTTTTCACCTCCTTTTTGCCGGTGTTCTCATCAGAATCATTGTTGAATTGGATCGGAGCCATGGAAAGACACCCATCCCATGCCACAAGCAGAGTGCAGCCCAGTCTTCCTTTGCTGATGCCTCTTTTGGTTTTCAAAGTTTGGCATACGAGTGACCAACGCAACTTTGGGGGACTCCATACATGTGTCCCAGAAAGGTAGTCAGCTCTGTGTTCTTGCGGACAGTACTTTCAAGGATGCCACTGCATCCACACCACGCCAACACACGCACAGACAATATCTACATGTGTATATATATATATAATGTTCTTGATGCTCCCACTCTAAAGGGAACACATTGGGGAGCCCGCACCGAACCCCCCCCCCCCCCCCCGAGCACCAAGTTTTTCCCCCGCGAGGGGCCGGGAGCGCTCCCGCTCGCCCATCCGCGTGTGCGAGCTCAGCGCCGAGGAGCAGGAGGTGCGAAAGCTGACTCGGAGCCTTTGCAACCAAACACTGGGTTACCCTCCAAGGAAAATGGTCTTCCAGGAACGTGTCAGGTTCCATGTTGATTGGGAGGGTAACCACCAACCTGAAATGGTTCATGACTATGGACAACTTGGGGTTGTGGGTTTTTTCAGGTGATCAACTATGACTGGGGTCATAAAGTCAGCTGGGGTTGGCTCGCTTTGACCCACTTGGGGGGTGACTTTGACAATTGTACAATCATGGGGCCAACCAGAGCTGACTCGCATGGGGTAGCTATTGCAATCTAATGAACCTCCTCAACCACTACCCCCCTCAACGTCTTTGGTTCTGTTCATTTTTAGTGGAGGCTAAAAAGGACTGCCAACATACCAAGGCTTTTGCGTCAACGCGGGGGTTGTCTCAACATAGGGGCACCCTCAGAAATGGGCCCCGGTGTCCTTTGGTTTCTTTAACACACCCCCTAGAATAGGCTACCATCAACATGCTACTGATGTTGCCAGCGGCGCTAGCCATCTGGGCCGGTCACATTGCCAAGGTGTACGCCCACGTCGCAGCAAGAACAACCCAATATGCCTTTTTGCGCGTACCCGACTCTGAAGATTCCTTAACTAGTCGCAGGGTATGCTCAAAATTTACGTTGCAGGTTTCTCATAATTGGGGGCATTTTGGCGGTTGGCAACGAAGAAGAAAGAAAGAAACAACAAACAAACATCAGAAGCCCATATGAAGGATCCAAACGATACCTGATGTTTTTGGGATGGTTTCAAAAACACATACCTAAGGAAGACCAACAACACAGAGAACACTCCTTGCGTTTGGGGACGATTTCAAAAGGATGCCTCAAAGAAGCAGCAACATGAAGGACACTCCCGCATGACTTTTGGCATCTGAAGCCGATTTGTCGGAGCTGGCAAAGCATCCGGGAAAGCCCGAAAGACCGGTGAATTTCAGGTAGAACCTGGTCTGTTTCTTGTGATCTGAATCCCCGCATTGGCGCTTTCAATTGCTTCGATGGGCTCTCCCTTTTGCCTGCTTCCCGCGCGCACGCGCGCGATGGCTCTGGACGGGGTCTGATCGATCGCCATGCTCGGAGGCCTTCCTGACGGACTTCGCGCAGCAGTATTGGCTCCCACCAGGCCCCGATTGATAGCTGGGGTCGATCTTGGCCAATGTTCTTTTTTTTTTGGCGGTCGGCGCTTGTTGCTTTGAGTAGGTGCCTTCTTTTGAGAAAAACTGTTTGAGGAAAATCTGGGTTTTGGGTTGATACCAGGAAAAGTCAACGTCTGTTTGAGCCATAGGCAGATTCTGAGCTCAAATTTCATGGGCGACACATTTCTACAACTAGGTGCGGAAAGCTGTCAAGTTTGCATTCTTGGCCATCAGTCTTGATTCGACTTCTTGAAAGCCGGGCACATTCTGACTCAACTGCCGGGTTTCCGTCTGTTTTCGGGCCGGCCCGGAGCTTTCCTCCGCTTTGAAGTGTTCAGCTCTCCAAGCGAAAGGGCGGTCGCTGGTGCATTGATTCCTGGGCAACAGGGTTGTGATCAAGGGGCTTATCCCCACTACTGCGCTACATTGAGAACCCCCTTTTTGTTGTATCACAAAAGTGGTCATTGCCCACAGCCCTGCGGGGCAAGGATCATGGGTTGTAGAAAAGGAGGCCGGAGCGGGAGACATGCCGAATCATTCGTTTGAAGAGTGCACTGCAGAAGTTGTGGCTCGACCGCTTCACCAGGGTCGTGATTCAGACGCCCCGTCGAGCAGATGGCGAGGGTAGAGCGATAAAGCGCAGCGGGTTTTTTTGCCTCACTTTGGAGCCCAGTGATGCTTCCCTGCACCCTATTCTACCTTATTCCTAGAGTTTCTGTAGTTTCGGACAGTCAAGACCGACGTACACACACATATCTATATATATACACACATATACACATATCATATATATATATATATATGCTATCCCCCCCCCCCCAAAGATCGACCATTTTCTGTGTTTTGAGAAAGATGCGGTGCATTATTGCAAGAAACAGATGTGCATATGCTGGGGTCGACATTCAAGTGCAGTGTTGTTGAGGACGGTTGCAAAATTGCGCACCTGCCAGGGCTGCAACACTGCAAGGCTTTGCAAAACTGCAGCCCCTGGCAACCTGAAGTTTCAACACTTCAAGAGTTTCCAAGACACTGCCCAAGCAAAGCTGCCAAACTACAGACCTGGCAAAGCAAGTCTGCTAAACTGCAGGCACTGCAGGCCTTGGTTGCAAAACAGACTTGGCAGGGCTTCAGCTCCAACACTGCAAGGCTTTGCAAAACTGCAACCCCTACCAACCTGCCAAAGCACTGCCCAAGCAAAGGTGCCAAACTACAGACCTGGCAAGGTTGCAAAATTGCCAACCTGCAAGGTTCCAACAGTGTAGGGCCAGCTCCAACACTGCAAGACTTTCCAAGCAAGTCTGCTAAACTGCAGGGCCCTGGCAAGGTTGCAAAATTGCCAGCCTGCAAGGGCTCCAACACTGCAGGGTTGCAAAACTACAGCCCTTGCCAACCTTGCCAACCTGCCAAAGTTTCAACACTGCAGGCTTCCCACTTGCTGCAAGGTCTGCCAAACTACAAATAAGGCTGCAAAATCCAAACTGCAAGGCTCCAACACTGCAGGCACAGCCAACTGCAAGGCTTTTCAAGCCTGCCAAGCAGTCTGCTAAACTGCAGAGCAAGGTTGCAAACTACAACCTCTTGCTAACTCAACACTGCAAGACTTCCCAAGCAAGGCTGCCAAACTGCAGACCTGGAGGTTGCAAAATTGCCAATCCAATCTGCAACCAACTGCACCAACACTGAACTACAGACAAGCGAGTTCAAACAGAAGTTCCAACACAGGCCTGTTTGCAAAACAAACTTGGGAGCTCTGTCTGCCAAAGCTCCCACACTGCAAGGAAGGCTTGAAACTTGGTCGCTGGCCCAGCACAACATTCCACAATTTCCAGCAAGGCTGCCAATCTGCAGGGCACGGCTGCAAAAAACTGCAACCTGCCAACCTGCCAAGTTTCAATACCCTGGCAAGGGTTCTTGCCACCTGCTACAAGACTTCCACCACCAAACTGGCACTTCCAGCACACTGCCCAAGCAAGCTGCCAAACTGGGTTCCAGCTCAAAACTGCAACCCACTTGGCAAGAGTTGAACACTAAGGCCACTGCAAGACTTGAGCGCCTCACCTGCCAAAGTTTCAACACTGCAGGCTTCCCTGCTGCCCTGGCAAGGCTGCCAAACTACAGGCAAGCAAGGCCTTTCCAACAAGAGTTCCAACACTGCAGGCCTTGGTTGCAATACAGACTTGGCAGAGCTGCAAAACTGCAGCTCTGTACGCCAAAGCTCCAACACTGCAAGGAAGATGCTCAGGGGCGAAGGGCAAGAAACCCATGAAGCTGCAAAAGCCTCGAAGAAATCAAAAATATCAAAAAATCAAAAAATCAGGGTCCTGGGAGAGAATGCCCAGGTCAGAATCTGGAAAAGTGAAAACCCTCGAGAAAATCAAAAAAATCAAAAAATCAAGGCCTTGAGAGAGATAGTCACTGGGTCTGGGCATTCTGTTCCAGGACCTTGTTTTTTTTTAAGTTTTTTTTTGATTTCTTCGAGGTTTATTCACTTTCCGA